GCCCATACTAACTCTTATTTATAAAGGGGGCACATTTCATGCACGGGGGTAGTGCCAACCCACGCAACCCACGTAGCCCCTGTGCGTGCACCGCAGCAACGGTACCGTCCGTAGAAGAGGAGAGAGAGAGAGCCTGGGAGGAGTGGTCACATCTCCTTTGGGAGGGGATACCTGTCAACGAGTCCCTTCGGCAAGACGGCTTGGCTAAACCGCGTTTGCCGAGAGCGAGCAGATGGCTCGGAGTTCGTTTGCCGCTGTGGATACAACTTCGGCGACGGTTCAGGCGTGGACAAGCCCACCGCCGGGCAGCATGAGACTTCGCAACAGCACGAAGAGTGAATTGCAAGACGTGGGTTGTCGAAGCAACGACGGGGAAGGCTGCGCCTCAGATACACTCCACCTGTTCTCTCGCGCCAAAGTTGGACTCGCGATCAAGTCGCGTTGCTTTAGGCCTGAAAGCGTTGTTGAAGTCCACGTCATCTAGATACACCTTGCACCAACGCAACCCTGAAGTGCTTGTTGTTTTGCAGCCCTGACAGGTGGGTGTGGAAGTACTCCATGTCCCACCACGTAGAAAGCGATCATGCGACTTCGTTGGCGCTGAACGAGGCAGATCCCAGCACTGAGAAGTTCACAAGGAGCTTTGCCGTAGGCGAGGCTGTGAGGGCGGCGGTGTTGGGAAAGCTAAAGGGCAAGGGTACGGCTGTCAGAGCCCCCCCGTCGCACGCCGAACGGTCCCACACCAGAAGAGTACAGCTAGCAAAGCCCCCGTGGTACGCCGTAAGGTCTCGTCGGGGGCGATGGGGGTTGATAGTACAGATGAGTCGTTCTCAGACGAGTCACTCTCAGACGAGTCGTCAGCGGAGAAGGGGGACTCGGTTGAGGACGAGAGGTCCTCGTCGGAGGAGGAGGAGGAGGAGGAGGAGGAGGAGGGCGAGGGGGAGGGGGGGAAGGAGGAACAGGAAGACGAGAGCTCCTCGTCTTAGGAGAAGGAGAAGGGGGAGGGGGAGTGGGAGGGGGGGGGGGGGGGAGGAAAGGTTGGGGGTGAGGGGGACGCGGAGGGGGGGGCGAAGGCGCTCAGTGCGAAAGCGCTTCAAGAAACAGCCCGGTTTAGTCTTGTTGAGGGAGGTGGAGGGGCCTGGGCGAGTGAATAAGTACTTGAACGCAAGGTACGGGTGTTGCACGTGGTGAAGGTGATGCTACTGCCGTAGGCTCATCGGCAGCCCCTCCTCGGTATGTTGCCGCAGTGAGTATGCTTGGATTCCACGGCTTGGTTTTGGCGTGTCGTGTGGTATTTTGCATTATTCGGCCGAGGTCAAATGTCGCCGACTTGTCGCAGAAGCATTGAGAAGTTCGAACTTACTTCTAGCTTGAGGGGGTGTCCCCAAGCACTGTACTCCCAAAACTTGAAAACCAACTAGAGTTGGTAGCCCATCACCAAGTTGCCATCACAGCTATTTATACGAAGTAGCAATCTTCCGGCGCCGAATGTACACACCAGTAAATATTTCAAACCTATCCAACAACTACGTGGTAACAAGGTCCTTGTGCATTTTTGCGTGCCGTAAACACCAGCACACGAAAGCATAACCACTGGAGAGGGAGAAAGCTACAAAAGCCTTTACCAAATATGTACCGAGAAAAAAAAACACTTTTTTCGTTTTCCTCCAGGGGGGGGGGGGTCGGGTAGGACTTTTTTTGTGCGCCCTTGCTATCCCACATAACAGCATCCTCCCTTTACAGGCCAATCGCTGCGTCCTGACCAAAATGTGAGCGGCATTGCATATTTCACCTGCCGCAGATAGGTCTGCTCCACACCCCTGTTATCAAAACTTTCTTCCCGTGTTGTCGGATGAGGCGTTTTCATCACATGCCGACGTCACGAAACCCTGGTATGTATGTATATGCGGCGCTGCCGTTTGCGAATTTTGCGTCCCGCAGGTACACACGTGCAAGTTGCTGTTGGCCTCCAAGTTCTCGTTCACCGCTACCCGCTCTGTCTGCATTAGTGAACAAAACGAAAGAGAGAGCTTGCGTGCCCCACCATGGATCGCCAGAACCTTACAAGGGCTTTCGTCGACACCCGCAAATATCAGTCAACACCTGCTATATCGGTGAGTTGAAGTGACGGAAATAACCCCAATCAGCGTAGACATGACCTGGAGCCAACAGTGCGTAGATTTTACCGTACCGTAGACGGCTACGCCGAGATTTCTTCAGTAGTTCGCCGTGGGCAGTCATCTCAGTTGCTCAGAGGTAAGAACTATCGCGAACGAGTCAACCGAGAACAAGCGGACTGTAACAACAAAGCCTTCGTGCTAGGTGGTAGCCGACAGTTTGTTGGAGGTAACAAACCTCCATAGGTGCTGTTGTCTACGAGCCTCCGATACGAGGTCATAAGTTGTTCGAAAGCGTAGGTGACAACACCTCAGTCATACACGGAATGGATTTCATGTTCAATCTCATGCATGCACGCATTCCCTCCTCACGGAAATGTCCCACACCCCTCTTCCTTCCGCTTTACATTTGATGGTGATCGGGCATCGACCTCATCACGAGAATTCCCCTCGGTTCCATTTTTGTTTTTTTCCACCAACTATCTACGCCACGGACGGACGGACGTGAGGACCTCACATCGTCCGAAACCTACACTCTTCTTTCGTACCGATGTCATAATCGCCTCTACTTCCTCTGCCTTTCAAATCGCCGCACCCATCCCGCGCATGCTGGCCGCCCGCCCCACTGGGGGGCGGGGGGCCAATCGTTCCCCCTAGTACAGAATATCTTCAAAAAAGAGAAACAATGAAAATTGTGTAGAAAGCATGCTTCAGTTTTTTTCAGCAGTGTGTCCGACGATGCCATTCCTACAAATAATATACTTACACGGCGACGTGTGGAATCTAAGGTTCCCTGATCAACGCCCCACAACACTCGCATCACCTGTCCGCCGGCGAGGATGTATGTTCCAATCTGCGCCGAGCACGGTGGTAGCAGCACGCTAACGGAGGACCCGTCACGAGAAGCTACGCGCGGCCGTCCGTCGGCGCTAAAGCCTGGGCATTGTCATGAGTATAATGTCTCAAGAGACGAAGAGTTCATCACACGACCGCCTACCACTACCAGACACGAAAAAGTCTGTTTCCCCCAGCTCGTGTCTGTCTCATCAATAACCAGCACCCCAGCGCGCAACTCGGCACTACCCTTCACCGATGAGTACGCGCCGAAAATGTCGTGGGTGACGCAATGATCACACGCTACGTGTTCCGAGCACTGCTGAAGGCCTGCAAGTGGCACTGCTCGACTGGTGAAAAGCGCGCAGACTAACGCCTATTCTATCGCTGAACGCTCCGATGCCGGCAAGCTCTCCCGCGCTTCGGGATATGGATAAGCTACGGGGTACTGGTGAGCTACGGGATACTGGGTGGCAGAATCACCAGAAGAACCTACAGGCTGGACGCTCGATGTCTGGGGCGCCGCCGCCGCCCCACCGACAGGGATAGTAGCATTCGGAGCCGTTCCATAGCTGCAGCTCTTGAAACACCCGGTCTTGATCGCAACGGCCATGACGATCCCACCAAGTACCAGCACGCCCAGTACGCCGCCCACGATCGGGCCAACCGGAGCTGTGAAGGTATGGTTCCCGGATTTTGAAGGCGTTTTGAAGGCGTCAGAAATGTAAACGGTTGAGGCAATTGGCAGCGGTGGGGGGGCGGAAAGCTGGCTTTTGCTTGAAGCACGGAACCAGTTGCTCGCGAAACCTTTTCATAGAATTCTGGCAAAAATGATATCCCACCTTCAGTTTCGGGAGAACCCAAGCGGGCAACAAGTTCTCACCTCCTCCAGAAGACGTGGCAGTCGCCATCTGGGACGCAGCGGGTATTGCCGCGGTAGGGGAAGCCGTAGGCGTGGCTGCCAACGATTGGGATGTAACGGGTAATTCCGCAGGAGGGAGGTCGAAATTCAGACCGGACGAAGTGGACATCGAGGCACTTGTCGGGGCGGTGGCGTTGAACTGGGTCGTATCTTATCCAGCGAACCGGGTTAAGAAAGGGGCATTCGGTGCGAACCTAAGCCGTCCGGGTATGCCGCCGTCACGTCTGCAGAAGGCATCATATAGTCTCAGCTCCGCCGGCACCAGCGGGCGAGGTGGTTTCCGAGGGCGCGAAGGGCCCACTGTCGTCCGCGTGACGATGGGCATCGTTGTCTCACCTCCGTCCGCCGCAGGCGCTGTGGTGTCCGAGGGCGCGGCAGGCCTACCGCCGTCCGCGGAGACGGTGGGCATCATGGTCTCAGCTCCGCCGGCACCAGCGGGCGCGGTGGTATCCGAGGGCGCACGGGTCACGCCGTCGTCTGCGGCAGCAGAGGGCCTCATGGTCTCAGCTCCGCCGGCACCAGGGGGCGCAGCGGTGGGCGCAGTCGGCCCGCCGGCACCGAAGATCAGGGGCGCAGCGGTGGGCGCAGTCGGCCCTCTCGGTGCCGAAGATCAGGGGCGCAGCGGTGGGCGCAGTCGGCCCGCCGGCACCGAAGATCAGGGGCGCAGCGGTGGGCGCAATCGGCCCGCCGGTGCCGAAGATCAAGGGCGC